CGCGTCTCACAACAATGCTTATGTCCGAAAGTGAGAAAGCACGACTGCGACTGAGCGATACGAAACAGACGCACTACTATAACCGTGTCGGGAGGGCTAAAGATTGTCGATCACCTTCTGAAAAGCTGACTTATTGGTTTAATGGGTCTAAATACTTCTGCAGCCAGTCGTCAAGGGCCAATAAGTATCAACAGACTAGTCAATGTAAAATAGCGAGGGCAATCTGTTCAGCTCCGTCGCAACACTAGCAGCCCAGTATGGCTGACTGTATTTTTGCAGTACCCAAACATGCATGGGAGGTAAAGTGCCTGGTTACGAGACTTCCATAACTCACATACAGGTGGGAATGCAGGCAACGCATAGGTTAGTGACCCGAGATGAAACTTGACCAATACAATAATGACAACAATGGCTCATTTTGAATTTTTAACGAGGCATGATCACTGGCATGACACCGGTTCAACAGTTTGGCACAGTGTGACACAGGAACGATAAAAGGCCCTCTCCTCTGTACGTCAGCGGAGGATGAACCGCGCCATCGCGGTTAGAAATATGTCATGGCAACCCGTTGTCGTCACCAACGGTTTAGTGGTTTAAACTGATGAAAGGCAAAAGTAAAGTCATAGATTGGAAACAAACAGGAATCGGTGGACGCGCACTGTTGACGAATTCCAGAGATGACACGGTCGTCTGACGATTTTTCGGATGTGTGATGACTGTCTTACCGAGCTTCGCTCCAAGGAATCTTGAAGGTTACGCTAAGGATGTTCCCTAGTCTGGTAAAGAAATAACTGCAAATAAAGGCCTCGGCTAAGAGGGAAACCCAATTAGGTCGTGTTAAGGCATGCTGATAAGTGGTGTGGAAACAAAAAGAACGTTGGAAAACCAGATATAACCACAGAATGGAGCTTACTTGACTGGAAGGGGCATCCTCTGTAGAATCGCAATGCTTCGGAATTAAATTGTTGGCGGAACAGTAAGCTTCTGCAACATCCTTGTACGAATCTGAGGCGGGTAAATGTTTTGAAATGGCCCACGATTGGATGCTAGCCTTGAACTGCAAATTGGCCGCTTCCAATTCGGAGCGCAGTGACTGTCGAAAGAAATTAGGCAATGAAAAACCTAAGTATTAGAAGGTCAAATTTCCATCGAGAGCAGTGGCATAAGGGAGACATCGTCATTTTATCAACTACTTAACAAATTGTCAGGAGGAGCGCCTCCCACTGAGAGGATTACTGAGCCCCACAAGGACAAAATGTTAACCCTTCTCCGGAAATCAAGTAGAAGCAGAACACTGGTTGAACGAAAGAATGATCTCGGATAATCTAATACTATTATTGGTAAGTAAAGAATAGAAGTGAACACAGAACGTTCAAGACCATCAAGAACACAAAGATCGGTAGTCTACGCCATGTAGTTGTCGCGTGTCCTATCCATTAGCATTAAACACGTGGTGGTAAAAACCTCAGCTATTGTGCTGCAATGCATGAGAGAAAAAAACGTGCAACAAAGGCACGCCAACTGAGTTCCCTAGTAACGGATGGACCTCGTTTCGAAGAGCTAGCAACCGGTTATTGGGCCCAAATTAAATTATACGTCAGAAATGAGATTTTAGTTGGAGGGACAAAGAAACTCGCAACACAAACCCCACTGAGACCGGCTCCTAGCCACGTCTACAAGCGTATGGCCGCCATTAAACCGTTATTTGCAACCTTGACTTCTTGATCGACCAATCGAAGCGGACAGGGTTGTTCGAACAGCCAATTGGAGCGGCAAGGCGCAACCTTGGTGACCATAACAACTTGGCGATGGAGAATTTTTGATTGGCGAACCGGAAAATACTGTTTTGCGGAGAGGAGCTCTCTGCAATACTTCACCGTAAACACAAGCAATTTGAAAAAGACGATTGATTGAGAATATCTTCCAACGTCTTGCGGTACAAGACAACACTGAAGAGCAGCAGTCACCCGCTGATGCAGTCGCTAACAGTATTCGTGAGTTTCAATATGCCCCGGATGCCGACCTCATCGTCGAATCTTGGTTCAGAGGATAGAAAGATGTTTACTTGTCCGAATGTACTGATTCTGGCGAGAGGTAGAGGTGTAGACTATACTTGCGGATGCTGAGTACCAAGGAGCACGACAAGTTTCTCAATCTCATTTTGTCAATATTTCTCAAAGATATTAGTTTCGATTAACTTGTGCCTTTGTTAAATGACATTTTTAGTGAACACTCCTTCTTTCCAGCTTCTGATACTACTGCGTGAAGCACGTTAAGTGCGCATCAGACGATTTCGTAACTTACGCGAGTACGGTCAACCGTCATTGCGAATGTTTCAAGTTGAAAGAAATAACGGACGATGGGTTCAAGATGTTAATTTTCATCTGTGATCTCTAAGCGCCTGAGGATACCGAAATAAAGGGCAATGCTGATTTTCAACACAGCAAATATTCCCATTGTAATCAGATGAATCAAGACCAGAAAACAGTTCAGGGTTAAGATATCTTTTCGGTAAACTCTCGTCAGACCCAAACTTTTACATGACACGGATTATGTGGGGTAAGCGATACCGAAATATGTACGCCGCCTAGCAAAACTGAACAGGGCCGGTCTATCATCACCGGATACTAGAGGTTAAGCAAGTTGAAATACAACATGAACTTGATTGTCCAAGGTTGCAGCCTATGTCTCGTAGATGTGTTAGCGGTGTCAAACCAGTGCGAGAGCCAAGTGACGGTCCCAAACTCGGTAGACAAGCAGACCACCATCCACATGCTGGCAATGTGGGGAATGGCACTACATCAAATTTTTCCCGTTCAAGAAGTATCTTTGTCAGAAATGCAGTAAAGGGGGTCCTAAGGAGGATCATTGCCGTGCACCTGCTAGCAAAAATAACCTTACCACCAAATGTCCCAAAAAGCTCGTATCCACATCTCTAACAAAACAAGGATAGCAGCTTTATCCCTTTTTGCTGCCTTCGATTCGGGGGCCACAAAGCGTAGAACGTTCGTTACGGTGGTTGTGCCCGTACGTCTCCAAGTTGTGATTGCTCAGACATCACTGTCATATCCGAAGAAATTTGGAACAGGATCGGTGAATCAACTGTTCAAAGAATAACTCATACTGCAACCAATGCTTCAGGAGTACCGCTGAACTTGGCCGGTGAAATTTATTGCCCTGTAATGTTTAAAGATTGCCAATTCGAAGGGATTTGCTACGTAACAAAACAATCTGATCTGAAGTTACTCAACAAGTTTTAAAGAGATTATAGATACGATGTTACGGGGAATACCATATGCTGATACATACCTGGATGATGTCATTATCATGGTAGCTAATCCGGAAGAATCACACCAACGAACAGACCACGTGCTAGACAGGATAAAGGATTTCGCCTGAGAATGGACAAGTGTAAGTTGCTCATGATCTGCATTAAATACGTTGGCTTTATCATTGATCAGTCAACGAGGATCTGATCATCTAACATCAAGAGCATGCCCTCACTTAAAAAGTAGAGATATTAGGACCTTTCCTTAGTGCTTACCTTCTGTCCATCCACCATCTACGAGGACCAATAAACCGCCTGCTGATGAAGGATGTTCCGTGGGTCTGGATCGTCTAATGACAGGAAAATTCGACAAGATCAAGTCGTTATTAAGTTCAGAACTTATGCTAATGCACTACGATCCAAAGTTGTCAATGGATGCATTCGGATGCATTCAGCTACAGAGTTGGTGCCATTATCTCGCACATTTTGCCAGAAAAGTCCGAGAAGCCAGTCGCTCATACCGCTCGTTCGCTGACCGCAGCAGAGAGAAATTATAGTCAAATGGAGGAGGTTTCCGTTATTGCGTTTGCAGTGAAACATTTCCACAAAATGCTATATGACCACCACTTGACCTTATTAGCGGAGCACAAATCGCTTCTTGCAATATTCGGTTCAAAGAAAAGAATTCCAGTGTATACAGCCAATCGTTTGCAGAGATGAGCGACAACTTTGCTGGGGTATGAGTTCAACATCAAATACCGATCAACAAGCGAGATTTGTCAGACCGATGCGTTGTCACGATAGTTAGACGAATATCAGCCAAAAACACTGTTGTTACTGATATCTCTATCGAAATGGAAGTCAACCGCGTGTTCTCATATATTGTGAGCCAACTCCCACTTTACGGGACAACTAGTTGTCAAAGGTAAGTAAGGTCATTCAGTGGCCACGAAAAGATTCGGACACACAGTTACAATAATCGTTTTAGGGATAAAATTCATTATTTGTCACTTAAGACTGTATACTGTTTGGCGAACGCGCCGTCATACCAGTTGAACTTTAATACAAAGTCGTTAGAGCAATTACATTCTGTTCATCCCGGCCCCTTAGATCAAGGGACCTAAAGATGGTGGTTATGTTCGACTACCGGTGCCTTCGCAATTTGGTACACATCTGGTGCGAACACCGAGTTAGCAACGAGCGTATTGGATGCCTTGTTTACGCCACAGGAAAAGGAAATTGAAAAGCTCAGCACAGTTATTTCACGCATCAGGCTCCCAGATCTCCGCCACGTGTTACGCATGCCAGCCCACCGACTCTCGTGAGGTGCGCTGTTTGCGCGTCAAAGATGTGGATGGAAGAAGAGGAGGGGTGGCCAAGCGATGACTGGGTCCAGGGGAATGAAGGCCCTCATATCGGAGCTGGCCTCGGTTGGAGCGTTTCGGCTCCCTGGTTGGAGTCCGAAAGACGATGAACACGTTTGGCTGAATACACTTGTTGATGTGGCTAGGAGCCGATCTCAGTGGCATTCGTGCTGTGAGTTTCTTTGTCTCACCCCATCCCTCTTAGCCTCCCCTCCAACCACAATCTCACTATTTAACATATAGTTTTGCATAGTAATTTTTTGTTGCTGCATAGTAGCCGGCAGGTAGCTTACCGGAACGATGCCCATCCATTACCGGTAGCTCAGCTGGCTTGCACCTGTTGCATTTTATTCCCTTTTTTCTTTTATGTATTGCGGCACAGTAGCTGAGGTGTTTCTCACCTCTAGCTAACGTGTATAATGATGATGATGATGATGACATCCCGGCTCCAGCGAGAAGTGACGTGCGCTGGCCGTTCATGAATTTGCAAATTGTGGAGCTAACACGTTAGAGTTCAAAGTGTGCTCCAGCAGCGAAATCAGCGCGGAAATGTGAACTATTCTTCTGGCTGACGCATACGAAACCATGGTCAAGTGTTAACCATGATTTTGCAGGGCCAATCAAAGGACGGAACTTCTTACTTATCATCGAAGCATACAGCAAGATATCTTTCAAATGTAGAACACCTCGAGATCGTTTCGGTTTTCTGGGAACACTGGGATCCGATAATGTGCCTCAGTGTATCTCTTCACAGTGATGAATTCTGTGCATTACACGGCATGGAGCAAGTGCGCTCACCCCCTTATCATCCAGTTCACGTGGAGACGGACCAGTTCAAGAGGTTATAGACTTTTCTGCTAACATACAGGATTACGTCTAGTCCACAGACGCCTGACGGAAAATCTCCAGCAGAACCGCTTGTACTCAGAAGGCCACGAACGAAATTTGATCTAATAAGGCCGCTTGATAGACACAACTGAAAAAATTGAATAATGGAGCACCCATACAACGGAAGATATCATGGTATTCCGCGACATTTCGATACTGGACAGGTGATGGCAAAAGATTATCTGAACAACACGATTTCTTGGACACATGAATTGGTTAAAAAAGATAAAGCCACATCTGCTATGAAGTGGCCGTAGGCGATGACATATGGGTTCGCCACATCAATCAACTCAGAAGCTACATCTTATTCGACAAAAGATGCCCTAACCATCCTTCTTGAAATATTTCTGGACAAGTTCAAACTATCAACGACAAAGGCTGTTCAGTAAGATAAGTCTATCAGCTCACCAAACTCTCTTGCACCTGACTGTCGGACGGGAAGATGGACGGATCATTGGCAAGCCCATCACGCCGCACCAGGTCAAGCCCAGAGAGTGTACTACAAACGGGGAATTGTTGGGAGGAGCACCTCCTAAGGAAAAGATTACTGAGTCCCACATGGACCAAATTTCAACCCTTCCCCAAAAATCAAGTAGAATAATCACTTGTTTGAGTAAAAGAATGTTCTCGGACAATCGAATAGCATTGTTGGGAAGTAAAGAATATAAGAGAACAGAGAACTTTCAAGATCACTAAGAACACATAAATATCGTTAATCTGCGTCCCGTAGTTGTCGCGTCTGGCCGCCATTAAACCGGTAACTGCAACCTTGAATTTTTAATAGACCGATCACAGCGGACAGGGTTCTTTGGACAGCCAATCAGAGTAGTCCGGTGCGGCCTTGGTAACCATAACGAAAATGGACTATGAGACAAGCATGTCGGGAAACGTTACACGACAAAGTCGGTTTTTGTGAAAGGAAGGAAAATGTATTTGATACGTGTCCTCAGTGTTGCGGACACCGGCTGCCGCGCGCACATAGGTGGCACAGCTGCACTTTCCAGGACTACTCAGGATTGATCTGCACAAGTTCTCTACCGGAGCCACATAGGTTCAGTATTGTTTGTAAAAGTGTAACGGCCCAGAATAACAATGACTCATAAAGTTATATATTTGTCCGGAGACTCACTCATAGCATTGGATTGCCAGTAGCGGTTGGAACCCACTATCAAATTAATCAACTTTTGTGACACAAAGCGCGCCGTGCTAAGGGAGTCGAGTATCACAGTGTAGTGACAGGAGTTCTATCAGCGCGATACACCTGTCAGTCGGTAGTAATTGAACGCACAGTGTACAAATGCGCGTCTAGTTCCGAAAGAAGAACGAGAAAAGGAATCCAAAAATGCAGATTATGCATGTGGGGAGAGGGGGAGGAACTCACTTCTTTCTCGGCTTCTGTGACTTTAGTTTTCCACATGATAGCAACATCAGCCATCTTTAAGCCAGCCTTAAAAGGAAAGACGACAGAGTATAGAGTATACGCGGATATTCTCATGGACAGTTATGAGGATGTGGGTGATGAGGAGAGAACGATTGGTGGAGCAGTTGGCAAAATGTTTAAATCCTTAGTCCAAAGCAATTCAGTGCGTTGATGTACGAAATACAAGCAAACGTTTAACAAATGTGAAGATTAAAGCAGCCGATAGTCGTTGCGATACCGCACACGTACGGAGGTTCGAAGTAAAGACGTTACTGATCCATGTGCTGGCTAAAAAATAAGGAATAGCAAACTATGCACCAAAACCAGTTGAACTGGGTGTAACATAGGACCACCGATTGATCATAACTAGAAACAAATGAATCCATCATTCCCTATCGAGTCCACGGGGGAAAAGGGCACAGGCCGTTCCCAAGTACCAGAACCAGACGAAAAAAAGGACAAAAAGTGTCGCATCAAACGGACTGACCGACCTTTAGTTGCTTTGCGCAATAAAGTTTGTAGATGCTTGAAGGTGGGGGCTTCGGCATACCTCGCATGTAGCATAGCTGAAAGGTGGGAGCAAACGGCCAGAGAAGGAAGGGAAGACAAGTGATAAAGCCTAGTGGACATTAAATAGTGAGTGGAGTATAGCAAAGGAAGTGTGACAGGAGTAAACGCATCATCATCAACAACAGCAGTACATCAGCCATTTGGACTGATGCATCGCTGGCAAACAACCAAGATGACCTACGGGACGAAGAACAATAAGAAGGAGAGAAAACGGACTTGCCGGAAAGCCTTAACACTCAGAGTCAAGGCGTTTACACCTTGGAGACAACATGCCATCACACACAACTGTTTACGGTGCAAAGATAAGGCGGCATAGGCGAGACAACTTCCTTGCGGCTTTCACCGCCCCGCGTCATAATCAGCCACTACCTCGCAGATAACTCAGCACCAAACACACTTTAAACAGGCAGTCCGAAAAGAAAAAAAAACAGCAGAGGCGTCAGTGGTGCCGACTGAGAGCCATGTCCTGTAAAGTCTCGAGCCAAGCACAAGGCGAGTCACGCGGACTCCAGCCCGGAAAATAAAAGGACCGACGGCACCACGTTTGGCCGTCAGTGTCTTCGTTTTCTGCTGCCGAGTCAACTTTTGTCCACCTCGAGCTTTGCACTATCTTACAGCTGACAGACAAAACGAGGCCCTCCTCGATAAGTGGTGGCCGGACATACGTAGTACGTGCCAAATCCAATGCAACTTATTCAGTGCTATCTGTTGTCCCACTGAACTAGATTGGTCATTACTGCCTAGTACTCGCCTACGCACACTATAATTGCGAACATGCTGGTGCCATCCGACACCAACAATGCTTAGCAAACAGCAATGATCAAAGACTTGAAAGCTGAGGATAGGTCTCACTTCCATATAGTAGGACGGCCCCACTGCGGCCTTGTAAACACGGCCTTTCAGATGGAGGGAAACTCTTTTCTGTCACAATAGATGTCACAGATTCAAGAAGGCAGTTATGGCTAGAAGTAAGCAAGCACAAATGAATTCGTTTACGTACTCTGAGCATTTCACCAATTTTGGATGTCCCGAAGACAGAGACGCATGTATGAAGGGAGGAAATAGGGCATGCACCTGTGGACGAGGGGGAGGAAAACAACGCTGGTAATAACATGCAACAATGCATTCTGCAAATCCGGTGAAAACTGGGCGGGGTACTGACAGGGATCGCGTGACAGCATCATCTGATTTGTCGAAGACGATGAGCGCCAATTGCTGCGGATGCTCCAAGCAGATATAAAAGAAGCTCGAAGCTGAGCCAGATCACGAAACATGTTGTGGATACGTGAAAGAGACGGCTGAAAACAAAAAGAGGAGAATACCTTAGCGCGACAGAAATTGGTTCAAGAGTAGGTCCCACTGTGGGATGAGGCAAAAAGTAGGAGTGTGCGAGTACGGAAAGCTCGTTCACTCCACCAGCGGTTTTGGATTTTAAAAAAATCAGACGTACATGGGACAAAAATGTCCGGTAGAAGGCAGTAAGGTGGGACACGAATGATATTGATGGTTAGAAGTAGACTGAAAATCGACGCTATCCCTGCAAGTAAGTTGAACTATAAGGATGCAGAGCAAGTGGTAAACAAGTGATTTCTACGAAATCGGGCACGAACGAGAAGTAACCAAACGGGCATTCCAGGTGAAAATAGCAGTAGGATTGGTCAAACGCGATACAGTACCATGCAATATTGAATTGAGATTCGCAATCCAGTGGGATTTAGAGCCTACGAATGACTCAAGATGGACTGTTAATCGATTGGAAGACATGACGATATTGTCGTCATTTGCACACCTGGTGGGAATTCTCCTCAGCTGCTAACTCCGGCAGCAAGTAGTTGGTTGTGAGAACGTTCACGAGTTTCTTGCTCCGAAGGCGTATTCGACTCAGTAAAGTGATCCATAAGTAATTAAGACGGTCAAGGAGTGACATAGCTTGTCAAGCAATGGTGCTTTTTTATGTGGCTGACGGAAAGCTCACGTGAATTGGTCAGTCTAACATCACCAGCGAATCAATAAGAGTACACAAGTTCCATAAATATGGGCGTTTATGTATAAGATCAAACGTTAATCAGAGAAACTAAAAGTAACAATGAAATAATCTGTAGCTTAAAGCAATTCAACTGACATGAAGAGAGCTAAAAAGTACTAACTAACCGAATCACCCTCGATGTTCATAACATTCAGATAATGGTGTCATTAATATGATTCGGTGATTTATGCATTTATGTGAGCCAATGAGCCAAACTGTGCGGCAATTTATTGGAGAGTTCAGATGAAATAATACCATGCAGATCAATGGGTAAAAGCCAGATTGACTATGGGAGACGATGTTATAGGGGTTGGAAACTAAGTCGGATTGGCAAGCGGCACGAAATCCAAGTTGTCACTGACGGAAGGAAACCATAACCTTTGCTCACTGATCTGGTACCACCTATACCACGCCAGATAGCAATGGCAAACAGGGAGAACACTCGCAAAATCTTTTCTGCGGTTGACAGCAGTCGCAGGTGCGTCGTCTGGTACGACCGGAAACGTGCGCATGTCATTTTAAGCTCAGGCCGTGTTACCTAGATAAAGAAAACTGTTTTGATGCTTCGTAGTCTTACTTATGAGCTAAACATTATCTGCAATGTCCTGTGGTCCAGCCAATTGCGTAGCCCGTTTGTCTTCTCCGATTCTGTGTGTTGACACTGTGGTAGATTGACAGACACCAAGAACATAACAGCGTCAAAGCGAAAAAGCAAGTAAATTCGACTGGATGGAGAGTAGTGTCCGGGGACAGAGCAATAAATTTCCTGATACAGGTGCATGACTTGTAAGCACCACACTCTGCGTTGAAGTCTCCATGCCTGACTAGGTGTAGATGCCCTTGTGGTATCCCACTCCGCCTAAAACCGTCTGCGGCTGCATGACAGCGAAATACTGATACATAGAACAGGTATATAGTGTGTCAGCTGTACTCCGTAACGGCGCTTCGCTGCCGTGTGACCACCACCAGTCACACGCGGGCTGAATATACCGCGAGGACGCCCACCCCTACGCGGATTCGAACCCGCGCCGCAAAATTACGCGACAAGCCCGTTACGTCTAGGCTACGGGTATAATGTCCGTATCTTTTTCCTTTGCTTCATCATCTGCGCATAAGGCCCTTCTTCTGCTGGTATTTTTGCTGTTGTTCCACGTTTAACCTTAGATTAGCCATTAAAGGACTACTTGATCAGCCGCATTAACAGGTCGTCTTCAAATCGAGGATGATGATTCACATGATGTCAGGCAACATTTGAATACTGCCTCATCGGTCAGGGAGATAAATTCGCCATGAGCTTACACTCCATGTGTACTGCCGAACAAGCCTCTAGTGCACCTGCCGCTATCATATTTGGATTCCAGCAACAAGAATTACACACCGCGTGTCTTCGAAGATGTCGATTCCATGACTCACGACATTAACGGCAGTCGTCGTATATCTTGAAAGGATTCCAATGAAAAGCCACATGTGTGCAACTCGAATTCGGACTCAATCGAGGCTGCTACGTGGCCGAAAGGACAAGGCGCCTGCGTTGCAACCCGGGTTCGAGCCTGCGTAGGGGACCGGGTGATTCTCGCAGTACCTTTAGTCCACGCAGATCAAAGTTGTGTGTTGGCTACCTTTCCGCCGCTTCCAATCAACGTCGGCGGATGCACACAAAGAGCGGCAGCGCAAGCACTGAGCGGGCATACGGAAAACATGTCGGAGCCATCGGAATGCACGCAACGAGATTATGCAGCGATAGGCTGTCTGAGCGAGCTTCTGATACTAAATGCTTGCGTGCTGTTTGCGCGCTCCAATGGCAAACGTCGGCTGCACCTCGCCAGTAGCAGTGTCACTTTCAGGTAAGGTAGGTGCCGACCTGTCGTCTGACGACGTCCGATAGCCGATCAGTGCTGAACACAAATATGTTACAGAGCACCTGATCCTACATTAGACTGCTGCTCGTTCTGAAACACGTGCTTTGGTTCCGATCGCGAACTCCCAGAATTATGTAATAATAACAATAATGTGCCAGCTTACGCCGTAACGGCGCTTCGCTGCCGCGTGACCACCACCAGTCGCGCGCGGGCTGAGTATACCGCGAGGACGCCCACCCCTACGCGGATTCGAACCGGTGACCTCTTGGTTGCAAAGCAAATGTGCAGACCACTAGGCCACCGGCCCAGAATTAGTTGAAGAACAATCGGCAAAACTCTTCTCACACGTGATGAGTGTATTTCATCTGGTGTTAGTAATCAGCTGGTATCCGGGAGGATTAAAGGCCTGCCTAATAAGCTGGAGTTCACCGGTTCGAATCCGAGTAGGTGCGGGCAACCTGGCTGTGTACGCGAAAGGTGGTGGTCGTGGAGAAGGGAAGGGACGGTACGGTGTGACAACGTACTGATGAAGCCTTTTCATTTGCAATGTATTTTAACCATCTGATAGACATCAACGGTTACGGCTGAGGGTAACTGATATGTACACTTTCTGATAAATACCTCCAGGTGGTGTCTATCAACGGAAGTTGTGCAGACTGTGGTATTCAGCAATACGAGCAAGATGTACGCGGGGAGGGGGAACTGCATTGGGACAAGATTTGAAATTCCCCTGCGTTACGAGTATCACCAATTGCAGTTGGTACGACAAGCTGGAGATTTGGCACCAAGCATAGTAGTCAACACAGTAAAAGTGCGAACGCGGTATGGTGAATTGTCAAACCTTAGAGAAAACACACCAAAAATGTCCGCCTGTCAAACAAGTATACTCAGTTGAGCTCCTTGGAACGTTGTGGTGGAACAATTCATCAAATCCGTCTGCCTTGAGATTCAAAACTGTTGGCTTGGACGGACTCTCTCCGAAACTGCTTGAGTACGGTGTCGAGGCAATTGTCAGACAGTTTAAGCGCCTTGTACGCCAAAATTTAGTGTGAAATAATAATTCCATTTTCTTGGAGAGAATCGATTATCAGCCATATCTCCAGGACGGGTATCCAAACTTTATGTTCTAACCACAGAGGTAGTCTAACGTCCGTTGTCGCTCTAATCCACAAACTAATCTAAATCCGGCAGCGACACTTGTGTGAAGATCGGGGTGTTTTCCTCCCCGCTCGGAGTTAGACCATACATTTATGCTCTGCCAGATTCTTGAACAGCGTCACTGTCAAAAAAGCTGGTGCTAAACGAATTCAATCCCTTTGTTGACACTCGTGTTCATTAACCACAACTATATTTTCCTCCATTTCCGCTCGTCACTGATCCTATCATGGACTGTGACGCTATATCTGTTCCACCGCATAACGCTCAATCTCTCCGGATATATCTTCTATCAGTGCTTGTTTGTCCTCTCACCTTTCGTGTGTTGACATTGTGGTTGATTGAAGGACACTAAAAACAAAACACTGGCGACGGAGTTCTGAAGTGTATCCAATCAGGTTATTTTCAACTGAGGATTTGAAAGTAATGCTGCAGCAACAACAAAAGCAGTTCAAGCAACCTCAATTGCGACTAATTCACGCTTGGTCAGTCCCTCTCTCTTCAAGCAACAGTTGCATCAACAAGTAATAGCTTGGTATCCTCAGCCGATACCATTGCAGCATCTATCCCAGAGTTTCGCTACGAGCCTACATCCGGTCTCACTTTCGATTCGTGGTATAAACGCTGGAATGGGTTTACGGATAAAGATGACTGGTGGAAATCCCGACTCGTAATCAGGAAACTTAGAACCGTCAAGCACGATCGTTGCAGTAACTTTATTCTTCCAAAGCAACTCATAGACCTTGATTTTGTGCACACAATGGAACAACTACGCAAGATGTTCAACGATGAACTTCGATTTTCAACGTCCGATACAACTGCCTCAAGTTGGCTAAGCGCGATGTGAAGGATTACGTCACTTATGGCATCGTAAACCGCGAATGCGAAAATTTTCAATTGCAGACACTCCCTAAAGATCAGTTTCAATGTTTGATTTTGTTTCCGGTCTTCATTCTCCCCAAGAGTTGGACGTCCGCACCCGACTGCTTACCAAGCGGATATCACCGTAAAATCTTTCACTAGTGAATGTCAACATCTACTAAGTCAGGTACGATACCGCTATGGTGCAAGAATCACGTGCACCAGCTTCATGCAGCGTCTATGCATTAACATAAACAACTGCCCACCATAAAAAGCCACCACCTCCTTGTTGGTCATGTGGCGATTGACACTATGTTCGCTTCTGTGCTTTCAAGAAATATCAGTGCTAGCAACGTCAACGATCGGGCCACAAAGAAGGCTTCTGTCGTTCCACAAAT